AGCTGGGCATGGTGGCAGGTGCCTGTAATCGCAGCTACTTGGCAGGCTGAGGCAGGAGAATGGCTTGAACCTGGGAGGCTGAGGTTGCAGTGAGCCAAGATTGTGCCACTGCCCTCCATCCTGGGTGACAGAGCAAGATTCCATTTAAAACAAAATAAAACAAAACAAAACAACACAACCAGCCAACCAAATAAAAAACCCAGCAAGGCAGCTGTAGGGGGCAAGGCAAAAAACAACAAAGATCAGAAAATGTTTCAAACATAGGCCTCCCCCTCATTAACTGTAAGACTCTACTCACATCACTTTAAAGTGAGGATAATACTGCTTACCTCACAGGGCCATATATTTTACGTACTGAATTTACCAAGGTTAAATGGGAGTCATAATAACTCCTGCTTTGAAGCCCTGGTGTGAGGACTACATGTGGCCATGCATGTGCAGACTTGGCCTGGTCCTGGCACATCTCAAGAGCTCCATAGGTCCAGCTGCTGCTGGAGTGCACCAACGTTGCATTTCAGCAGGTCAAGAGGAACTCAGCAGATGCTCAACTTAGAGTCCACACAATAAAAGCAGACTGCCTGCTTGGAAACACAAGATTATTCCTGATCATAATCAATGCTATTTACCAAATGAATCCTCTGTGCCCAGTACTGCACTACAGGCTTTATATATAATATTTCTATTCCTTTTAACAGTCTTCTGAGGTAGATATTATCCTCAATTTACCAAGGAGGAATTGATGAACTGGGATTCAGAGAGGTTAAGTATCTTGTGTAACATCACATGGAAAGACTGGGATTTATGGAGGAGCTGAGATTTGAAGTCAGACAAATACATTTAACCTGTAGAACTTTACAGAAGGGTTTCAATAAAAGCATGAACAATGTCCTCAACATCTGTCCTTACAATAAATATGTACAGAGGACAGGTTCATAGGGCTTTTTAAAAAATAGATTTTAATATAATGACTATGTGTACATAGACAACTGAGAATAGGAAAAAACTCCAAATTAATGTTTTAACAAATTACAAGCTGTTACTAAAGACCATATGCTTGAATTAAAAAAAAAAAAATAGGAAAACAGATAATGTCTCTCATTCAACCTAGCAGTTTATCCACTCTCTTTTAATAGATCTAGCATATTACAGTGGTATAACTTTATCTTTTTTAACACTTCACATAAAAATATGTGTGCCCTTTCCTACTTGTAATAATTAGTAGTCTCTAAAATGGCAAAACAAACTTAATTTACATTAGCAAATAAAAGTGAGAATTTGTACAGCTAGGCTCAGCAGCAAAAATTAAGAATAAGAAGGAAAGGTGAAAAGGTGGCAGATGTCATATAGAACGGGGACTTCCATGAAGGTCTGTGCCCTGTGGCCAAACACAGTTAACATTCCACCATTTTTTCGTTGCTCTTAAATGAGCAAAACCAAATTCTTCTTTATTTAATAAAATATTAAATCTTTATTTTCCTCCCACATAATGTGTGATCAGGTAAGGCAGAGATAAGTCCCACCGTCACTGGGGACAGCAGCAACATAGACTTCAGAAACAGCCTTGAATTATCAGTAACATTCTCCCCTAGTGACATCAGAAGGAATGCATCTAATAACAAATTTGCAATGTTGTCACACTGTTCTAAATTTATTTGATTAGTTTATCTGGAAGAACTTAATACATTATTTAAAAGAACAGTAAATTATTTTCTTGCTCTGAAAAAATAATGTTTTTTTCACATTTTAAAACATTTGAGTGTGCTTTTGCAAAAGGAGTTGCAAGATTATGAAAGCTGGGTTTGCAGAATGGCCATGTACAAGTTCGTATTTATAAGAACCTGGCAATCTGCCTATAATTTGCCTCTACAAACAGAGTTCCTTGCACTATTTTAAAAAACAGGCTTAAAATTTTCCCCTATTCATTCTACTTGTAGAGCAAAGAGGTACGTACTTTTCAAGTATTCCATGGTAAAAGGTAATTTTTTTGGCAAATTTTAAGCTGTTAAGCTTTTAAGACCAAAATATTTATGTGAAAAAAAAACATGCCTAGTCAATACATTTCTTTTATAGCCAAATGCTCTTGTCTTTTAAAGAATGAAGAAAAACACTGATTTGCTAAGAAGGAGCACACTGGAAAAAGCCATTTTAAAGTACTGAAGAATGAGAAGTATTTTTTTTCTACTGATGAAAATTATCAGAAAAGCTATCCAGTCTGTTGTCTTTACCTAGTTTTAATAAATCTTTTCAAAATGATGGTCAAGAAATCTTTAGAAAACTGGAAGAGGAGATGCTCTTTTATAGCATGAAAGGAATTAAATTAATTGTAGAAATTCTCATTATATTTTGGCTTTGGTTCTTCAGAAGAAATACTCATTTAACTTCTGCAGTCTGTTGTGTTTGAACACCATCTACCTGAGACAGGAGCCCAAGCATCCCTTCATCATCAAAAGCCAAAATTGGATTCAAAGGAATTTCTGGACTCTTACTGTTGGTGACATCTAATCTGGATGGTTTTGATCAAATGGGTAAATTTATAATTTCTTCAACATTTTCATTCTGAACAGCTGTCCATTTTCATTTGGTTTTCCAAACTGGGGGTGCTCTCCACAGTCACTTTTGATTGGTGAGAGGTAACCACATATGGGCTGGCAACTGGTTCTCCATTTCCCAGAGCATTTGTCATACACAGAAGTGCAGACAACTGTTCCTCCAGTGGGAGCTCCCTTGGCTATATTACCATTTCTCTGATCAATGGTTTTCTTATCTGTAGCTTCTGTTCTCCTGCTTCAGGGCTGTTTCTTATAGCAACCCTCATATTACTCACCAAAGCACAATGCAGTCACATCATGTGGGGACCTGGATCCAGGTGGGAACGGGGAGGTAAAGGACCACAGCTCTCAGGTGGTCTGCCTTAATCCAAAAGTAGATTTCAATTTACAGATTAACTTCAAGTGCACTAGTTTACTTACTATGTTTACTGCCTTGCTGAAATGCAAGATCCCTGAAGGGAGGGATTCTTTTCTGCTTTGTCATCATGTACCACAAATTCCTAGAACAGTGCCTTGCACATACTAACAGCTCAATATTTAATGAATCAATCAGATTAACAAAAACTAAAAGTTGACAATATCAAGTGTTAGGAAAAAAAAATGAGGAATGAGAATGCTCTTACACTGCTAGTGGGAGTGTAAATGTATACAAGTCCTTTCAAAGCAATTTGGCAGGTTGGCTCACGCCTGTAATCCCAGCACATTGGGAGGCCAAGGTGGATGGGTCATTTGAGGTCAGGAGTTTCAGACCAGCCTGGCCAACATGGTGAAACCATGTCTCTACTAAAAATACAAAAATTAGCTGGGCATGATGGCGCATGCCTGTAATCCCAGCTACTCAGGAGGCTGAGGCAGAATCGTTTGAACCTGGGAGGCAGAGGTTGCAGTGAGCCGAGATTGCACCACTTCACTCCAGTCTGGGCCACAGAGCGAGACTCCATCTCAAAAAACAAACCAAAAACCAAAAAATAAACAAACAAAAAAATCAAGCAAATTGGCAATGTCTCGTAAAATTGACAATGTACCCAGTAATTTTTCTAGTTAAATACCCTACAGAAATTCTAACGCAGGTGCCAAAGGAAACACCTAAAAGCTTTTCACTAAAGAAATGTTTGTAATGGCAGAAAATACTATAATTTAAATGGATAAATATGTTAAAATGGATGCATAAAATAGACTATTATAAAAATTAATGAGAATAAACTAGATTCTTATATTAGCATGAATAGCTCTAAAAAACAATGTAAGCAAAATAAAATGCAAGAATTTTATTAATGTAAAAACTTAAAACAAATACTATTATATATTGTTCAAGGATATTAATATATTTGAATGTAAAAGTATAAAAAAAATAGTTGTCCATGGGGAGGGGTAAAAGGATTTAAGACAGGAAATGAACAAAGCAGACAGACAAATAAAGCAAAGAGAGGGAAAAGAGACCAGCAAGCTTTTCCCTGACATTAAATACTAAAATACTCATGTGTGTATGTGGCTCAATATTGGCAGTGTAAAGTTTAAAGCTTTTTATTCTCAAATTAATGGTAAGCATTGAGAGAACAAAGGAACACACTGGTGGGTTTAAAGCTTGGGCCTCTACCTGGTCATGCCTAGCTACTTTCTGCACCAAATCCAGATCTGTGCTGCGGGTGTCTGATACTTGCGTGTTCTCTTTCATTCTGACCCCATCTCTCCCCCTATATATAATTTTTTTTCGTTTCTTCCTTCTGTCGGGTCCCTGACACAAAAGCTCCGCACCAGGCTGGGGTTCTGACACTAACTAGGCATGTGATTCTGGGCTGTCATCTCATCATTCTGGACCTCGGTGATCTCCCTTCTAAACCTAGGAGAACACCCATCCTGCCTGGAGGCAAGTAGGGCTCGCTCTCAGTTCTCTTTTCTGCTATTTCTCTATTCCAGCGCCATCTCCCGCATACTACAGGCATACAGAGCCTCCGCCTTAATCTCGCCTCCGCCTTAATCTCACCTCCGCTCTTTGTCTTTGCTTCAGCTCCTGCTGGGCTGATTTCTGTTTGGCCTTCTCAACTCTACTGACAGGTTCTTTAACTTTGGTTTTTTCTTTACGTGCAGGTGGATCCATGGCTTGACTTTTGGATATTTCTTAGGAGGCTCTGATCTGGGTGGTACAGAAAGAGGCAGATCTTAAAAAAACAAAAACAAAAACAAAAAAACCTGCCAGTCACTCCTCTAATCCTTTAGCTCCGCCCCATCCTTTGCCAGGTGAAGCAGAGTGGTCTGGTGGCAAGGACGCTGGATGTGGGGAGCAGGACCTGAGTCCCAACGCCACAACCTCGCTAAGTGTCCCCCGGGCAAGTCTCTTCCCCACTCTGAGCCTTAGTTTTCTGTCTGCAAAATGAGATAATAGTATCTTCCTGGCTTCCCTACAGGAGAGGCTGTGTGCGGGTGAAATGCGAAGAACCCTGTGAAAGCGCTGCCCACTCTGCAGCGTGCGGCACCCAGCCCGGGACTGTCCTAATGGGACGCTGAGGCCCAGAGAGCGCCCAGGGTTTTCCCACCGCGGCCGGCCTGACAGCGACCGGCCCAACTCTGCGGCAGCCGTCGCTTCAGCGGACTGCGGGCCAGGCCCCACCGCCGCCCGGGCCCGCCCTCCGCCGCCCGGCCCCCGACCCCGCCCCGGCCCGGCCCCAGGGGACGGCCCTCTCTTCCCGCCCTCTTCCCTCTCCAGGAGGAAAATGGCGGCCGCTGGAGCCGCCAACAGAGGAGCTCAGGGGTCTGTACCTTTCCCTGCCTGGCCGCTGGACGTTGGAGCCTCCGCCGAGTTGCAGACAACGCCCCCGGTGGGAAATCCTTGTCTTCTCCCCACCACTGCAACCAGCGCTGCGCGCCCACCGCCCCTCGTCCTGGGCGGGGCCGGGGCGGGGCCGCGCGCGGGGGGGGGAGGGGGTGGGGCGCGGAGGGGCCGCGCGTGCGTAGAGAGGATGTCTGAAAATTTGCGTAGAGGGCGGGGTGGGGCGGGAAGAGCCGGTTCCGGGGCGGGGAAGAGGCGGGGCCAGGGCGGGGTGGGTGGTGTTTACGGCTCACAAAAGCTTTTTCCTGGTATATTTTCTGCAACAGCCTCTAGGTTTTAGAGAATGAGATCTTAATCCTGGAATTGGAATTGCTCAGAATTCGAATTCCGAGCCTCAGTTTCTTAATTCGAAAAGTGGGGATTGGTGATTGCCCTCTTCATTCATGAGTATATTGGGGCGGATCAAGTGAGATCCCGTTTGCCACAGTGCTTTGAAAAAGGAAATCTTGACAGAAGTACCATTAGCCATAATGGTATAAATACAGAGAAACATTCACGTTCAACTGATTACCGAGGAGATGTGAATTAAAATAGATGGCTGTCATTTTCCATGTATTACATTAGCAAGGATTGACCAAAAAAAAAAAAAAAAAAGATAGCTACCTGTCTCAGGTAGATGGTGTTCAAACACAACAGACTGCAGAAGTTAAATGAGTATTTCTTCTGAAGAACCAAAGCCAAAATATAATGAGAATTTCTACAATTAATTTAATTCCTTTCATGCTATAAAAGAGCATCTCCTCTTCCAGTTTTCTAAAGATTTCTTGACCATCATTTTGAAAAGATTTATTAAAACTAGGTAAAGACAACAGACTGGATAGCTTTTCTGATAATTTTCATCAGTAGAAAAAAAATACTTCTCATTCTTCAGTACTTTAAAATGGCTTTTTCCAGTGTGCTCCTTCTTAGCAAATCAGTGTTTTTCTTCATTCTTTAAAAGACAAGAGCATTTGGCTATAAAAGAAATGTATTGACTAGACATGTTTTTTTTTCACATAAATATTTTGGTCTTAAAAGCTTAACAGCTTAAAATGTGCCAAAAAAAATTACCTTTACCATGGAATACTTGAAAAATACATACCTCTTTGCTCTATAAGTAGACTCAATGGGGAAAAATTTAAGCCTGTTTTTTTAAAATAGTGCAAGGAACTCTGTTTGTAGAGGCAAATTATAGGCAGATTGCCAGGTTCTTATAAATACAAACTTGTACGTGGCCATTCTGCAAACCCAGCTTTCATAATCTTGCAACTCCTTTTGCAAAAGCATACTCAAATGTTTTAAAATGTGAAAAAAACATTATATTCCAGGCACTATTCTTACAGCTTCACATTAATTCCTCATAATAAGTGTGTATAATGTATACGTGTGTATTATTATCATCCCCATTTTCCACATATGGGTACAGAAGCACTGAAAAGTTTAGTGAGTTGTCTAGGGTCACACAGCTCCTAAGTGCTGGAGCAAGTATTTCAGTTGGGATTCATAGGACAATGACCTTATCCAAAGTAAAGCCATGTTTGGGTCTACTATTTACTCCACTATCAAACTAGTATGAATGAAAACAATTGATAGATGCTAAGCAAGCAATGATCTCAGCCCAGGTGGACACTCTCGCACTTCCAGTCAAACTGTAAATCGTTCCAGCCTTTCTGGAGGTCAGTTTAATACTAGGTATCAAAAGCCTTAAAAGTGAGCACATCCCCCCAAAAAGATAAATACTGTATGTTTCCATTCATATGAAGTATCTAAAACAGTCCAAGTCTAAGAAACAGAAAGTAGAATGGTGACTGCCAGTGGCTGGGAGAGAGGGAAAAGAGGAATTGTTTAAAGGGTATAGAGTTTTAAGTTTGTAAGGTGAAAAAGTTCTAGAGATCTGTTGCACACTTTTTAAAATTTTATTTAATTTTAAAAAAATAAATGGGTCTTGCTCTGTCACCCAGGTTGGGGTGCAGTGGTGCAATCACAACTCACTGTCACCTGGGCTCAAGCAATCCTCTCACCTCAGCCTTCAAAGTATCTGGAAATACAGGCACACACCATCATACCTGGCTAAGTTTTTAATTTTTTGTAGAGATGGGTCTCACTATGTTTCCCAGGGTGATCTGGAAATCCTGGGCTCAAATGATCCTCCCGCCTCAGCCTCCCAAAGTGCTGGCATTACAGATATGAGCAATTGCGCCCAGATTTTCCAAAATGTCTACAGTAAATATTTATATTTTAGCAATCAGAGGAAAGTACAATAAATATCTTTCTTTTTTTTTTTTTTTTGAGACAAGGTTTGGCTCTTTTGCCCAGGCTGGAGTGCCGTGGGGCAATCTTGGCTCTCGGCAACCTCTACCTTCTGGTTTCAAGCGATTCTTCTGTCCCAGCTTCCCGAGTAGCTGGGATTACAGGCACCTGCCACCACATCCAGCTAATTTTTTTTTTTTTTAGTAGAGATATCGTTTCACCATGTTGGCCAAGCTGGTCTCAAACTCCTGAAAACCTCATGATCCACCCACCTTGGCCTCCCAAAGTGCTGGGATACAGGTGTGAGCCACCGTGCCCAGTCTCAATAAATATCTTTTTAAAAACCCTAAACAAATGCTGATTTGATTATTATTAATAAAAGTAACCAAATTCTGATAGAATTTCAGACATCTTGACATAGTATTGGTATTTTACATTTGTGTCACATCGCATAGTTTATAAAGTTCATACAGGCTGTTGTGGGTAACCCCTCACCTGGGCACTGAGGAAGGAGAGCTGTGCAAACCCCAGGCACAATTAGTGCCTGGAGAATATCTTAGTTTATAGTGTTATTACTCAGCTATTTTCTTTATATAATCTTTCTATATAATCATATAATAACTTACTGCTTAATTTATCTAGCTTATATAAAAATACTTAGTACTTATATCTAGCATACTTAGTTCCATATAATCTTTCTATATAATCATATAACGGATGTAGTCAGAGCTGTGCTGACACATTTAGTGCTGATTTATAAAATCCTTCTATATAACCATATAGTAGTTTGTAATAGGAGGAATGCCTAGAGCAGTCACAGAACAGAAGCAGTACATGGGAAAACAGCCAGACCAGGACAAGAACCAAAGACCCAGGCGGTGGCATCCCTGCCTGAAAGGGCATACACCGTATGGCAGGCTTGGAGCAAGAGCCTCTCCTGATAAAGAAGTTGCAGTACCTTGCATCCAGTTCCGGTGGAAAGTAGGCCTCAGGCCTGAGATCCTGGAAATAACCTAGGGAGAAGAACCCCTTTGGTGTGACCAGTCACTGCGGCTATACACCCTGTCAGTCTTTTCTTGCTTCTGTGGTAGCACAAATCATCCTCCCATAAATATCTTAGAGAAGAGCACAAGTCTGTCAGCTCCCACTGCATTGGCTTACAGTATCCTTCTATTAGAAACCCTTTGAAAAAAAAAGAAACCCTTTCAAGTTTCCTTTCCCCAGATAAGAAGTATTGCCCACGACACCTGTTGCACACAGCCCACCTTGACTGGGTGACCTAATGGGGGTGGACCCCTTTTCTGTACATGACCCTCTACTACTGCTTATGGCACGGCACGCACGGCACGCATGGCCCACCTCTCTGCCCAGGTGACATAATGGGGTGGCCCCCTCGCTTGTGACTTATGTGATTGTGTATGCCCTATTACTAAGCCTATAGATGATGACCTCACGACCCTTCCCCCTGATTGTACCTAATAAATACAGATGCTCTGCATTTTCGGTGCCTCGCCTGTCTCCACTCATAGGTGGTGTGGCCCCTGAAGCCAGCTGCTCTTCTCCAGTTCTTCAACGTCCTGTCTCTTTTTTTTTTTTTTTTTGAGACGGGGTTTCGCTCTTGTTACCCAGGCTGGAGTGCAATGGCACGATCTCGGCTCACCGCAACCTCCGCCTCCTGGGTTCAGGCAATTCTCCTGCCTCAGCCTCCCGAGTAGCTGGGATTACAGGCACATGCCACCATGCCCAGCTAATTTTTTGTATTTTTAGTAGAGATGGGGTTTCACCATGTTGACCAGGATGGTCTCGATCTCTTGACCTCATGATCCACCTGCCTCGGCAGTTCCTGCACCTCAGCACAGCATAAGGGACACCGATCACCCTGTGGGGCCAACAGCCTTGCAAGCTGTGAACTAGATTACAGCTGGAACAGGGCAGGACCTTTAGAAGCCTTTACTAAGCCAGCTAAAAGCAGACCAGCTATAGGGAGTGGAGGAGTGGAAAAGTCACATGGAAGACTGGAAAAGTAGTAGTGCCACTGAGCCACTGCTGAAGGTGGAGAAGGTGAGATGAGTTGGTTTGGGAGAGGGAGGATGAGTTAGGGGTGTGTGTGTGTGTGTGTGTGAGAGAGAGAGAGAGAGAGAGAGATTATGCTTCAAGTGGCAATAGGCAAGAAGAATTGTCCAGTGAACATTTACAAGACTCTAGAAAAGCACAGAACTAGAGATACCAGTTTGGGATTCTTCATTCTTTATCGGGAAGGTGAAAGTTGGAGCCTGGAGAGAGTGAACGTTGAGACCTATTGAGGTCCCCTCCCTATTTTCCATGAGTTTGTGCTTCGTCTGTCTCTTTTGCGCATACCAGTGGACTCTTGGCCAGGCTGCAGAATTTCCTGGTCTGTTGAATGGCTAGCAAGAGTTTACATTAATATAACTGTAGAATATTTTTACAGTTGAAGTATATACTATACTAAGATTATATTCACTTTATTAAATAACCTTTTTTCTAGAGTCAAAAATTGTCTGTTTTTTATTTGCTTAATGATCTATGCATCCATTGTTTATTTTTTATTTTTAGAGATGGGCTCAAGTGATCCTCCTGCTTCAGCCTCCGAGTAGCTGGGACTATAGATATGAGCCACCATACCCAGCTATCTATGCATTGATTGTTAAGTCTTTCACAGACTCTCCATTAAAGCTATAAAATATTTGTGGGTCTGGTCACGTGAACCAGGTCATCTACCAGTGTCTTTTTTTGTTTTCTTGGCAACATCCCTCCTTAGACTCATCCTCCTCTTGCTCCAAACTCTTCCACTTGGCGTTGCTTCACAGCTCTTGTCCTAGGATTCGGGGCCTGACCACATTCTGGGGATTGTCTTCTCGTTTCTCCTGTGTCAAATCCCCTGCTCTGGATCTTACGTTTTTCCATTCTTGGTTTATTCTCTCATTTTGGAGGAGCACGTTCTCCATTAACTCCCCAGAAAGGGTTCATGGAAGGTAAATTTTTGAGTCCTTGCTTGTCGAAAAATGGCTTTATTTTCTTTGATCTTTGAGTGACAGATTTCCACTTGGAAATTATTTTCCCTCAGAAGTTTAAAGGCATCGATTCATTGTCATCTAGCTTCTCATGTGGCTAGACTCTTGAGGAGACTGATTTATTCTGACTTCTGTTACTTCCTGTATATTTTGTTGTTTGTTACTTTTTGGAAGCCTTTAGAATATTTTTTTTTCCTTTATCCTTAATGTTCTGAATGCTCTTAATAAACTGTCCTGTAAGTATTTTTCATTCATTATGCTAAGCACTGGGTGGCCCCCTTTCAATTGGGAAACCTAGTCTTCCATTCTAGGAAATGTTCCCTGTGATCAGTTTCTCTCTCTCTGTATATGTTGTTTAACAAAAAGAGACAAGGTCTCCCTATGTTGGCCAGGCTGGTCTTGAACTCCTGGCTTCAAGTGATCTTCCTGCCTCAGTCTCCCAAAGTGCTGGGATTATAGGTGTGAGCTGCCACGCCCAGCCAGTTTCCCTGATTTTACATTTTTCTTCATGTTCCATTTCTTGGTTTTGTTTATTCTGTTCTACAAGAGAGTTTCCTGAGCTGTATCCCCTGGTTTTTCTATTGAACTTTTTCATTTCTGCTACAAAAATGTTAATTTCCAAGAGTTTTTTTTGTTCCCCAACTTTCCTTTTTGATTGCTGCTTGCTCTTATGTTGTGAATTCAGGACCTGCTCTTATTTCATCTTTCTGAAGATGCCAACTGTAATTTTCTGCTGTTTTCTTCTGCTTCCTAGATTGTCTCTGTTGTGTATTTTGGTCTCTGGCTTTCAAGTTGGAGCTTTTCCTCAGACAATAACAGCTACCATTGAGTATCAGCCCCTGTTCTAAGTGTTTGGCTTGTTTTAGCTAAGTTAATCTTTACAACAACCCTATGAGGTAGGGCCAGGCCCAGGTCCCTCCCAGCCCAGGCCTGGAAGGGTCTCAGCTGAGAATTTCTTCTTGCTGATTGACGTCAGGAACCCTTTATCTGATGTTTCCACCAATCCTGCCTCCCTCTGCAGGCACCTGGGTTAGATTTAAGTTTTTGCTAGATCTGTTACTAGTCAGCTCTCTGTTTTCCTTCATTGAAAAAATGTATTGACATCTCTATTTCACAGTTACTTACTGTCCTGTTCTCTTTTTCCTTTCCTTCTGTATTCCAAGATTGTCATTTTAGCTCATTTTGGGAGGTAACAGAGATAAATATTTGTGTTCAGTGAGCCATGTTTATTTAACCGGAAATCCAGAGCTCTGTCTCCCTCTTTAAGTCAGGAAGCATACAGACCAAAAAAATTATAGTGATTATTACTAGATTCTGGGATTATGATGAGATATCTATATCTATATCTGCATCTGTTTTTCTCACTCATAGAGTTAGAAGTCAAAAAAGAACATTTCAGATAAGAAATTCATTTTATGATGTGATTTAGACTATCAGATAAAATGCTTCTTGAGGAAGCAGTAAAAATATTATGACAAGTTGTATATTGGTATAATTACTTTGGAAAGCAATTTAGTATCATCTATGACCTGGCAATACCACTTCTAGGTATATTCTCAGGATGGCTCTACATTTAAAATTATTAAGGAGTTCAGAGAGCTTCAGTTTATATGAGTTATATTTTTTGAATTTTTCCATATTAGAAATTAAAACTGACTCGGTGTGGTGGCTCATGCCTGTAATTCAGCACTTTGGGGAGTTAAGGTGCAAGGATCACCTGAGACGAGGAGTTTGAGACCAGCCTGGGCAACATAGTGAGACCCCATTTCTACAAAAAAAATTTTAAAAATAGCTGGGCTTTGTGGCATGCACCTGTAGTCCGAGCTACTAGGGAGGCTGAGGCAAGAGGATCACTTGAGCCTAGGAGTTCAAGGCTGCAGTGAGCTATGATTGTGCCCTTGTACTCCATCCTAGGTGACAGAGCTAGACCCTATCTCTTAAAAAAAAAAAAAGAAAACTGATAAAAATTAAATTATTACTTCTTTTAAAAATAAAAATAATACACAAATTACATGTCAACAAAACGTATTTATGAAAAGCAAATTTTGAAACAAAAATATTACTGAGAAGAGTGGCACTGCTTTATATTTATATAAATATATTTTTTTTAATTAACTAATTTTGGGAGGCCGAGGCGGGTGGATCACGAGGTCAACAGATCGAGACCATCCTGGTCAACATGGTGAAACCCTGTCTCTACTAAAAATACAAAAAATTAGCTGGGCATGGTGGCGCGTGCCTGTAATCCC